TTGCCACAACGTTACATTACAACGTTGTGGCAACGTTCAGAGGAGTCCACAAAATAACGTTGCCACAACGTTACATTACAACGTTGTGGCAACGTTCAGAGGAGTCCACAAAATAACGTTGCCACAACGTTACATTACAACGTTGTGGCAACGTTCAGGGGAGTCCACAAAATAACGTTGCCACAACGTTACCACAACGTTGTGGCAACGTTCAGGGGAGTCCACAAAATAACGTTGCCACAACGTTGTACCACAACGTTTTCACAACGTAAGTGAAACGTTGTGACAACGTTGCCACAACGTTATATTGTTAGCTGGGTTATCATTGCGAATACATAACAATTTGTGATTTCTAATGTGAATGCACTGTTCTTTTGCTAATATCACAGCTGGAGACATAATTGAACATGGGCCCTATTTGAAATTGAAGAGAGTTCAGCGCGGGGGTGACGAATTCACACCTTCTTATGTAGAGACTATGTAATCCCTAGAGACTATGCTTATTCAGTCACCCGCGAAGAATGTAAGTATAGTGTCATGAGAAAATTAAAGGATTGTATAGAAAATGCAAACATGCCAGCAAGTTCACATTGCGAATACATAACAATTTGTGATTTCCAATGTAAATGCACTGTTTTTTTTTACCAATATCACAGCTGGAGACATAATTGAACATGGGCCATATTCGAGGAGAGGTCAGCGGTGGGATGATGCGCTCTCTAAGGTAGAGGCATTCCCAAGTGACGATGATCGCACCCGTCGTGAATGTGAGTTAATTATTACCAGCCAGAGATCATCAGTTTCCATAAAATTTATTCTTAAAATCATTAAATCCACAAAGTTACTGTAACAGCACTCTTGGTTGAGCGCGCTCTCTGATCTGTATTCAACGGCTATCCTCAAAACCTCCTGGTTGCAAATTCGATCTTATTTCATAATTTATGATTTCCAAAGTGAATTGTTATATAAATAATTGTTGACGTTATTTTTCTCATTTTCATAGTTTCTGACCTATTTGGATCGCATGCACCTTCTTCACGATCATTATCTTCAAATATTATAGCCGTGGCACATCCAGCCATGCAACCTGACGACGACCCCATCAAGCTAGGAGAGGCTACTGACCAGGACGAGGATCCTATGGAACAAATGGATCCACTCGGCCCGTCCAAAACTAAAAGAAAAACACGACAACGGAGACAGGTCGGTAAAGCACCCAGACCAATTAGACATACGTGTCCCGTTCCGTCCTGCAAAGGCCAGGCAGTTAATATCTTAACGCATATGAAGCAGGTGCATCCCACAATTCCAAAATGGAAAGATGAAACTATGGTAAGAAAGGCAAAGAGGGAATTGGCTAGTGAAGTAAAAAGAGTGTATCCAAAATACGTCTGTTCACTGTGCAAGAAACCACAAACGAGAATAGATATTTATCTGAAAAAGACAAATAGGCTGGCAAAGGGTAGCGCAGAATACCAAGATGCAAAATCAGCAGCTACAATATTAGTAGACAAAGACAGTAAGAAGCAATTCTCAGAAATATCACATGTGCTCGATGAGTTTAATGATTATCTATCAAGTTTTACGGGGGGAAATATTGTTGAGCACGTCGTCAAAGCACACGTACAGAGAGTAAATACTATTTTGCAAATGATCGAAACACCCCCCACCGTCAAAACAATTCAAAGACTAGAGGAGATAGGCGAAAAAGCCGGTGTAGTTTCTGAACTCGAGAAGAAATCATTGAAATCAAGCACAATTGTAATGTACCTCTGGAGTGTAGAGAAATTTATTGAATTCATGGAGATTTCCTGTCAGCATCTGTACCAGGGCTCACTTGAGAAACTCAAGCAGGTTATAGGCAATGTGAAGAAAGCAGTACAGAAAGACGTAAAAAAGGCAGAATTAGAAGCAAAAATTGCAGAACATAGCTCAGAGATCCCCATGCAATACATCAGAAAATATCACGATTCTGCAGCAGCAAATAATGCGGTAAAATGCTTAGAACCCGACAGAATTATTACAGAGGCAGCGTTTATAAATGTGCGAAATCATCTCATGCTTTCTGCGATTCTTATTAATGCGCGGAGGGCAGGAGACATAATGAATATGACAGTTGAGGAGTTAAGGTCACCACTGACTGACGATGATGGGAATAATATCATTCTAGTTAAAGTCCATAAGACGAGAGCGACATTGGTATGCCGCATAAACCTACACGGACATTTGTATAAGCAATATCAGCTGTTCGTTGATAACGTGCGGCCGTTTGTGCCAAACCCCGTAGGGAATGTGTTTACTAGTAGAACAGGGCAAACTCTTACGAACTCGGCATTTAATAAATCCATTAACGAAGCGTGGAAAACTTCGAAAGAGAAGTAGGAAAACCTCTACAAAGAATAAGTGCTTCTTTGATGCGCAAATGGGAGCAACGCGAAACGATGAACATCATATGTGCCATTCGGTACACACAGCCGACAAGCATTATGACCTTACACTAGATATCCAAAAAACAATAGCTGCCACTGAAGGCGTAAGAAAAATGTTTAGAACTGTTATGGAACACATTTTTGAAAATGAGTCAGAAAGTTTTATTAAACCACCCACAGAACAGATTGGTGTAGAAGATACATTCGTAGAACATGGTCGCAGAAAATTTAGACCAAAAGATGCACAGCTGTTAAAAATAGCCATGGCAAGGCTCGTTAAAACGAAAACAAGTGAAATGCAATCAAAACTTGGTTGGAAAGAGGTAATTCAGGAAATAGAAAACTCAGGCCCTAGTTTCGCACGACTGTTGGCAAATTACAGTAAATCACAACTGACGGATCGAGTCACGTATGAAATTAAGAGAAATCGTAGGTAGTTGACTAAAACAGAGAAGGGAGTAGGGGGCGGGGGAGGATAAATCCACACACAGCCAGTATAAATATAATCTATAATTCTATATTGTTCAATATATGAAACATTGCTCATGTATTTACTGTCATTTTTGCATTGTAACAGTTGCAGTTCTTGTATGAACTCATCTTGTGTTTCGCTGTGGCTCTGTTATGTTAATCACATAATTCATTAATGCGGTTCTATAATGTGTAATATCTATCCGTATATTATGTTATTTCTCCGCAAATGAATATTTAAATGTAAATGTATCATTGCGTGTATGTTTAACAACACTTTTTCTTCGTGAAATCGTTTTTGTTTGCGGTATTTCGATTATTGTAGTAGCGATTACGATATATGTTTCAGTTACCTTTAAACATTTTATGACTCATGTTATATGAACTCATTTTGTGCTTCGCTGTTGCTCTATTATGTTAATCACATAATATGTTGTTTGTCAATAGTAGTATCGGATGGCAGTCTGGAAATTTAGCTAGATTTCTTTTCGCAGCATTATAACACCATCCTCGTTAGCCGTGTGGATACAAGAACTGTACTGTACTGTGTTGGTGTGTGTACAGATTTTTCAGGTATTATTCTTGTGAACGTCATTTCTTGCGTGCACAACAGTTTAATGCAGTATTATTCCACTGCATATGAACCGGTTCTTAACATGAGCTTGTACGATCAAAAAATAAATGAACCAGTATTGTATATCTTAACTTCCTGACTTTGTGTTCAATCTACTCGAACATGCATCGCAGCACACATAAATTACAGCATTCGCGTATATAAATAAATAAGACATACGCAAACGCACAAGCCGGCAATTCCTATTTGCAGTGAAACTATTATATTTAATTTAAAATGAAAAGCTTGCTGGTAAATTGCTTATCTGTCAAATAAAATCCCATAGCACTGGACAGACGAATATATTGCTCACTTCGGATATCCACACACGATTGTGACCGACAATGCCACTACGTTCATGTCGGAGGAGTTCCAGGCTTGGTGTCGCCAACGAGGCATCACTCATTTAACAGGAGCCCCTTATCACCCAGCCACGAATGGAGCTGCAGAACGCCTGATCCAGACTTTCAAGCAAGGACTCAGAAAGTCGACGCTGGCACCAAAAGTTGCCCTGCAGCAATTCATGATGCAGTACCGACGTACACCTTTAGCGGAAGGGTTTTCGCCAAGTGAGCTACTCAATGGCCGCCAGATCAGGTGCCAGCTCGATTCTCTATTGCCTTCTCCTGCGCATTGGGCACAGGGGAAACAGGCTAAAAAGGCAACCAAATCACAGCACGGTGAGACAAGTCGCATCGTTACTAGGCTAGTGCATGCCTACTCGCTAGGTGCTCCATGTTATGCACTTTACTGCGGCCCGCGGCGAGACAGAGACGCAAGATGGGTCCCGGCGGTTATCACTAAGGTACATGGTGCCCGCGGCGTCAACGTGCGTGGCTACCCCAGAGGACCAGTGTGACGTAGGCACATTGAACAGCTTCGCCCTCGCTATGGGATTGAAGAGGACACGGATCCCGGAGAGACCCCCGAGTTATCAGTTCCGGAGCTATCCGCAACTCCGCCTATCCAACCCAAAGGACAGGACGGTTACCCCCGTGGAGACACACCGAATCCTGAGTCAGCAACGTCACGTGTAACCCAACCAAACCGAACGAAGTGTCGCAATCCGCGCCTTCCAGTAGGTGACGAATACGGGCCAGATAATCCCAGACGTTCCAGTCGACAGCCGAAGCCGCGGACCAAGGCTTATCTATAGGCTATACCCCCTTCCGCCTCTCGGTGGGCTCGAGGCTGGTGGGGAGGTGTGACATTATTGTATCATTCGCCCTTATTAGGCCCAATAGGTGGCGCTATATTATTTCCTAAAGCCATGTACTTGCGTGGTCACGCTACTACGTGGCAGGCTGGAGTGTAGCTGGAATAAATCCTTTGTTGAGTTTATATATTATACGTCAGCTCTTACGACTTTACTTCTAGAAATAAGGTATGTATTATTAGCTATTGATAATACATATAATCAATAACATCTATAACGCCATAAGTCCTACAATAGCTTTAGCTGCACGATACTGTGCAAATTTACAGGGAACCTGCAGCAACACTCATATCTATTATATTATAAATACAATGAAACACAAGGTACGCAATGAAATTATTCAATTCCCCAAAGCAACTGTTTCGCGAAGCAATCATGATTATTATGGTAATTGAAGTTTATAATTGCCCACTTGGCAGACAAACGTTTACAAGCAGTCGCTGGAGACGCCAAATGCGCGGAATCACACGCGCATATTTACACGACCTGCACGCGCATACGATCACCACACAACCGTCACATATACACACGCATTCACGTGCACGAGTGAGGAACAGAACACATACGCGCGCATGCACGCACACGCTAATGCGTGTGCGCACGCAAATCACATAAACGCGGATGTATGAATACACAGGCGCGCGCTAACGCACGCCCGCACACAACACGTACAGACACGCTTCATACGATTATAGTTTATACTCTGTTTTATCTAATACTGCAAATTGATACCACATCAAACTAGTCCAGGCCAGGTGCGCGCTAAATTTTTGCAGTGTGTACACGCTATCCCGGGCTAAATGCGCGCTAGTCCGGACTAATACCCCGTACAGACTGCAAAATTTGATATGGTATTAAACTGGTGCGCCAGGCGCGCGCCAAATCGCAGCGTATAGACTGCATATTTGATACTACATTGAATGAGTCATCAGTTTTAAGTTCAGCGGGTGCAGGCAGCGGGTACAATTACGTGACCTATATAAGGCTATCCGCATGCGTAATGCGATTTAGCACCGGGTCTGGCTCGCGTGTTGCGTACAGACACAGCTTAGTGTGGGATAACTTATCCCGGGCCAGGCCCTCCTTCATTTGGGGGGCCAAATTGGTGCGGGATAGCGTGTACACAGTGCAAAAATTTGGCGCCCGTTAGACCCGCACTAGTTTAATACAATATCAAATTTGCAGTTTGTACGGGGTATTATTGGGTATTAAGCCTGTACAGGGTATTTAGCACCACGACTGGGGTTGGGCCAGGCACGCTTCGAAGCGTGCTGTTATTCCGTACTAAGTTAGCCCGCGCTAAATTGTGTCTGTACGCAATCCGGGGCCAGGCGCGGGCTTAATTGCATAGGCAGGCATAGGCGCATGCGCATAGCCTTGTTTTGGTCGCATAAAAGTACCGTAGCGTGTGAAATTGTGTCTGCAATTTTGCTTTTGATATACATATCATTAGAATATAATTACAACTTGGTCAGAAGAATCAATCCAGAGAGACCGGATACAAGATGGCCTTGCGCAAAAGATGCGTTGTTCCCCGACCTATTACTCTGTTACGGTAAACCCACAATTAGATACCCACCGACACCCTATGCCTCTCCCCGAGGATCTCATGAGGAAACTGGGTGGAGGACACGGTTTCACTAAACTCGACCTGGCGGATGCTTACAACCAGATAAAGCTCGCTCCTGAAAGCCAGAAAAGGCTAGCCCTCAGTACACACCGAGGCGTACTGCTTCAACTTCGGCTGCCGTTCGGCATCAGTTCGGCACCAGGTTATTTCCAAGAGATCATGGAACAGCTCACCAGTGATCTACAGGGAGTGGCAGTCTACCTAGACGACTTTCTTGTCAGTGGTGCCAATGCTCAAGAGCATCTCCAAAATCTACGCGCATTGCTTCAACGCTTAGAAGAGAAAGGGCTACGATGTCGCATGGAGAAGTGCTCATTCGCTCAACCCGCAGTTGAGTATCTGGGCCACAAGCTTTCCCAAAAGGGGATTGAGAAGGGGGCTAGCTAAGGACAACGCGGTTATCAAGATGCCGCCACCGGAAAACGTTTCCGGCCTGCGTTCATTCTTGGGGTCTGTGCAGTTCTATGGCAAGTTTATCCCTAACCTAGCCACTCTCACCGAGCCTCTCTATCGACTGACCAAGAAGGACATACCATGGAACTGAGGCAGTAGTGAGCAAGCGACTTTTCAGCAGCTGAAACAGGTGCTTTGCACGGATTCAGTGCTGGCGCATTTTGACCCATCCCTGCCGATTGGGGTGTCATGCGATGCATCAGAAGTTGGCATTGGCTGTGTTGTTTCACCGCTATCGTGAAGGCAGTGAGCACCCAATTGCTAACGTATCCAAGACGCTGACAGATACACAGCGCCGCTATAGCCAAGTTCAGAAGGAAGCACTAGCTGTCATTTTTGTGCTAAAGAAGTTTCACCAGTTTCTGTACGGTCAAAATTTTATTTTGGTTACAGACCATAAGCCGTTGCTAGCGCTGTTCGGGCCAACCAAAGAAACGCCAATGCTGGCGGCCAATCGTTTGGCTCGCTGGGCTTTGATGCTTAGCCAGTACGACTACTCAATAGAATATAGAAAGACGTCAGACCACGGGAACGCCGATGCGCTCAGTCGCCTGCCAGTGGGACCTGACGTCATCTTTGATGGGGAGGAAAGTGAGGCAGATGTTGGAACTGTCTGCATTATTAAAAAGGTGAGCCTACAGCTACAGCCAACGGACCCTGGTGTCGTGGGAAAGCAATCAGGCAAGGATCCTGTGATTGCAACGGTGATGCGTCATACCCGTGAGGGATGGCCACCCGAGGATTCATGTTGAATGTGGAGAGCAATGAGTGCTATTCAGTCAGAGACTTCAGGAAGCTGGCGGATTCACTGTCGACAGCCCATGGGTGTCTGCTATATGGTTCCAGAGTAGTCATCCCTGAGAGTCTGCATCAGCAAGTGCTTCAATTGCTGCATTTGGGACACTTCGGGATACAGCGGATGAAGCAGCTCGCACGCACAGCGGTATATTGGCCTAGGATCGACACTGACATTGCA